TGTATTGAGAAATCAAATACTAATACATACAGATTTATTGCAACTGGAACTCCTCAATGAGGATCACATTTGAGGATTCATGAAGGCACTCATGTGTTGGTACATATCTGATGATCAATAAGCATTATTTGCTATTATTGTTATTATTATTTTAAGTTTCCCTAAAATGGGATATAGTCAGAGACTTAGAATTTTATGTTGATGAAGTATTCTCCATATGAACTGCTGTGCCTTTTTGGGTTTGTCTTCTTGTGCTCCCTATAATTAGTCATTAACATTTTTCAGTTGCTCAGTATATGCTGAGAAATGCCAAGCACTTAACATGAATTTATTTCATTTGAATTTTATAACAACCTATGAGACAGATGCACACTATAGATTTTTACATATTACAGATAAAGAATCTGAAATTTAAAAAAATTAACAGAATTGGCAATACTAAATGACTAAAATTGACCAAAAAACTGAGCTGTTAGCCAATATGATCTATTGCTTTCCTATAACGTGAGACTATGAAACATCTAAACACTCTCCCGATAATACCAACATTGGAATCTGACTCGTCTTCATTCAGACGGGTCACCTAAAGTGTCCTCAGTATGTTCCATGTTAAGTTCTCCCTCCAGTGTTTTCTTATGTATAAATCAAAAAAGAAAAGAAATCTTGTGAAAATGTTTTTCACTCTCACTTCCTGGAAAACCTTTGCATGACAAAAATGTGCTAGTATTCTTCCAAGAAAAGAAATCCTTTACAATTGAGAATTTTAATGAAAATCAGAAAGGCTTTGTGTGATCCAGAGCAGCCAAATGAATGAGAATATTGGAAAGTTAGGAAATAATCCAAGTTCTTAAGCAGAGTTAATAGGGCATCTCATCCTGGAATAAGAGCAGTATTGTGTTCTTGGATACATTTGTGTGTTGCCCTTGACATTTGAAATGTCACTTCAAAAGAAATTACACATTCAACATATCATTCAGACTGTAATCATTCAATCTTAAGGACCCAAGACTCATTTCTAGAAACAGAAAGCTTTTGTAATTTGCTTTTCTGTGACTTCCTCATGGGTGATATAATGGCTATACTCAATAGCCTCTTGTTATACATGTTTTCTTCATATGGTGTATAATTGCTTCTTGTTTCAATGGTATGTGTGTTATAGACCACGTAGACATAAGTATCCTATAAAATAAAGAACTAATATGCTAATTCGGTCAAACAGCAGAATGACCGTCCAGGCGACCTTCCGGACAAAGCCAGGGCTACGAGGGCCGAGCCCCTTGCAAGAATTTCGTGCATTGGACCTCTAGTCTATCAATAAATTGTCATTCGATATGATCCTGCATCATGTCATCCAGGCCCCACTTTTGGAAGAATGACTTTCCTAGAGCTTCTTTATTGATAACTCGAGGCCTAGTGCATAAAATTCATGCATAGGTAGGGTCCCTAGGCCTGGGATGCAATCAGGGCTGATCGGGGCCTTCTGGCTGCGGGTCGGGGCTTTCCTTCCCTGGCTACAGGCTGCCGCCCCACCCCCTGCTGGTCAGCACATGTTATAACAAGCAACCAAACTCCCAGTCTCCCAGTAGAACTCCCAAGGGAACACTTTGCATATTAGCCTTTTATATACATAGATGACTTGATAAAAAGGATTGCATATGTAGGTAAGTTAACATTTTCCCCTTTATGACTCAGAAGGAAACTTTAGTATCCATGAACCTCCTAGCCAGCTTTACTACACATTCCAATTAGTGTCAGAGCATATATCTTGACCCTTTACTTTTCCCCACTCTCCTTTATTGAGGAGCTAAAAGGGCTAAGCAGTCAGGAACAGGACCTTGGGAGAGGGAAAAGAATGGGGAAGTCCTTGAATAACATGACCTTGCAGATGTGAACATCATACAGCTTTCTGACTGTACCACAGAGACAAACAAAAGGATCTAGAACTGACCCTCACTAGGCGGAATTGCTAAGACAACCCAGCTGGGTGGGGAAAGAAGGGCACATGGGAGACATGAGCTTTAAAATGTATGGATGTTGCTAAGACAGGCAGCTTGCAGATAACCAATCACAGGGATATTGCTAAGGCAGGATTATTTGAAAGAACCAATTGGGAGTTAGCAAAGCATGTATCTACCCTACACAAAGAAGAACACACTCTTCTCTTCTCTTCTCTCTCTAGCTTCTGTGACAGGGGATAGACTCCCCTGTACCCTTGTGGCTTATGACTGTGTGAGACTCCACACATGGACAAATGGAATTCAATTAGCTTGGATCCTAAACTACACTTGGCTACAACATGGAACGGAAGCTCTGGGAACTGGCCTATTTTTTAACCCCAGCTGTACCTTTTCTAGGACTGGCTTGGGATGCATGGAACTTTGGAACCTGAGACAAAGAAGCTTCACCAGTAACCTGCTTTGGGCCCCTTTCCTGCTGCCACCTGTGGCAAGAAGTCCATCTGTCACTCAATAAACGTTGCCTCTCTTAACCATTTTGTCCGTGAATCCATTCTTCGGTTTTGTGAGACAACAGACTCAGACCAGAACAGAAAATTTGGCATCAATATGACAGGGTCCTTGGTATAGGGTCTTTCTATCATTTGTTAGCTCTCTCAGTCTATCCTTTTTCCATCTAATAGAGAATGTAGTTTGAGGATTTTTCCCTCCAGTGTACACAATCTTTATTAGCAGGTGTCAAGAGTACAAACTAGTAAAAATTCCAGAGGAATCCAAAGGAGGTAGGACATGACTCCCTTCCCCCAGCTGAGGGCCCATAAAAAGATCAGTGGAGCAGAAGCACTTGACTGTGACCTGTGACCACTTTGGACCCAGCAGTCTTCAAACAAGATCCCAGGGGGAAAGGAGCAGCACCGCTGGAGAGGCCTGGGCTGGGTACCATCATGGGCTGTTTGGCCTCTGCTTCCAGCACAGCTCAGCAACTCCAGGTAGGGGTGTTAGGAGACAGGCTAAAACTATCCCTCTCCAAAACAAGGCAGAGGTGTGAGGTTACCAGCTCCTGTGGGATTTGAGCCAGCTACTTCTGGTTGTTTTCCTGGGTCCTATTCTCCCATTTAGCCAACCTTACCAACACTATTTAGATTTTAAAAAATAAATTCCTACAATTTCTTTAATGTCACTTCTGTCATTTGTTTTGATTTATAAACCAAATATTTTTCTAGGAATCTAAAAATCTGAAAATGTACTCAAACACAACACTAAAATCATCGAAAATTACAGTACACCCTTGTGAAGTGTTACTAATCATGGATTTAATTATTCCATGAATAAAATAATTCCTATATGATGGTGCATAGTGCATTTCCTCTTAAAGGAGCTAGAAAGCCAATAAAGAAATTTTTTTCTCTTTTTAAAAATTCAGTCCTGTACTTTTATCCATGCTTTTAGTACTTTGTGATTTATAAATTATGGAAGGCATTATCACTTTGAGTTGATCACCAAAATTTTCCAAATTATGATGTGCTATCTGAAGCAAGTCTGAATTAATAAACTATAACTGCATTGTGGGAGGTCAAGTTTAAATATATATGTATACTAGAGGCCTGGTGCACAAAATTCGTGCATGGGAGGGGTCCCTCAGCCTGGCCTGCACCCTCTCTAATACAGGACCCCTTGGGGGATGTCTAACTGCCGGTTTAGGCCTGATACCTGTGGGCCTGATCACCCTAACTGTCCTCTGCTGCCAGCCTGATCACCCCTAACCACCTCTGCCTTGGCCCCTGCCACCGTGGCTTTGTCCGGAAGGAGGACCGGAAGATGTCTGGTCTATCCAGTCTAATTAGCTTATTACCCTTTTATTAGTATAGATAGTTTATCAGCAGCAGTAATACATGTTTTGGAACAAAATGTATATATTAATGAAATATTAATGGTATTGGCTTTTCTTACCATAGTGCACTCAGGAAAGAATGTTATGTAGCAAAAACAAATGCTCTTATCAAAATCACTTTCAATCTTCTTATCATGCACCGCACACCTATTGAGGATCTAGCAATATATTCTAAGACCTTGAGAAGATAACTCAAATTTTGTGATTCTAAGAAGCATTTTAAAAATTATACCTCAGCTGCTTCATTTTCTTCTTGAAGTAAAGTGTGCTGAAATTCTGTTTCAATCTTCTTAGCTTTTTCAGCAGCTGTCCGTTTTTCTTCTTCATAGGACATTACAAGTATGCCCAAGAACAAACTTGCCATGTAAAAGGCAAACCAAAAACTTATTATAATAAAAAATATCATGTAGACCTTTCCAGAAGCATAAAGGATCTAAGGAGAGGTGGAAAACAGGACAAAAAGGAAGATGTTATTTGTCTTCCGGTAATTTTCTTTTTTAAAATAAAAATGAAGTTTTTTATGAAAATAATTTAGTCATAAGTGAAATGTGATCACAAGATAGTTCAAGTACTGGCTCTATTGGAAAAATAAGCAAAACGAAGTTCAACTTTAGACTTATCTAAGGTATAAAATATATCTAAGATCCTTTTATATTAACTATGCTACTAAAATAGCATTGCATATTCTACTATGCAAAACTTCTCTGAATAAAAGAAAAACTGAATCTTTGTTTTAATTAATATTATATCTTCTTGAGAAACTATGGCACACAAATCATCAGTGATGAAGACAGACTTTCAGAATTTGGATTTCAACTCTGATAACAGCAAGCCTTCTGTTACAACTAGGCATGATTGACTATTTAGAGAAATGAGAATATGAGAATTGAAAAGAAATAGTCCATTGTAGGTATTCAATAAATAATTATGTAATACTTGGTAATCTCATAGGTTCGAATTTGTGACTGAAGAATTGGTACCTAGAAATCTTCTTAACTTAGTTCATATCACAGAGCAGGACAGTGATCCTGTATATATCCATGTTGTAACTTTGGAGAGGTTACCCAGCCACTGTGATCTTAGTGTCTTCATATAAAAATCAGATATATATATATATACACACACAGACACACACACACACACACATATAATATAGGATTGTTGTAAAGGTTAAATGAGATGTCACACATAAGAGTACAGACCACAACACAGTGTTAGGGTATAGTTTGACCCATAATAATTCTTGTTCTCTTTCCTTCTGTCTTCAAATACTTCACATCAAAAATGTAATAAACTATGTTACATTTGAACATTGTCTTGGAAGGGAGGGGCATGGTACCATTCTCATGTGCATGGCAGATTCTCTCTGTTCTTACCTGATGATACAGTGCTTCAGGGTAATCCTGCGTCATCAACCGGAATAGGGCTAACAGGGCCCAGCCAAAGTTGTCAAAATTTGTGTAGCCATTATCAGGATTCATGCCAGCTTTTATACATGCATATCCTTCAGGGCACTGGCTAAATAAAGAACACAAAGAAAAGAGCAACTTCCTACTTTTAGGTGACTTCCAGATTATGGCCAAATCATAAATATAGAACATTTGCCCACAAATAATAAAGGGATGAGCTCACAATTTGGACTTGAGAATAGAGTGTAAACCCAGAAGTAGCTGGACAAAAAGTTGAGAAAGCGACAAATATCTAAATCAATCAAACATAACAAAACTGCATAATTTAGGTTCCTCTCCCCATCATGTGCCATTCGTCAACCTGGCCCCTGAGCCTAAGAAAAAGTAAGCCTACAGATGGGCATCAAGTCATGAGCTGGGGAAGCAGCATAAGGAACTCTGTGAGGCATTGCACTGTCAAGAAGCACTTTATTTCTACTTTCTTATCTCTTCATCTGAAATTATAGGACAAGACATGAGAGTTGTGTTCCCACTGAAGAATTACTTATAAATATTGTGTTCAAGAACAACAAGCTTTTTCTTAATTAAAATTATAGTCATAAAAGATAGATAAGCCATAAATAAGTGAAATAACAGCAAATCTTTAATATTTCTTTCATCAAAGGCTTGGGGCCAAAGAAAAGATTTTATTGTCTTTTTTGGTAATTTCCACTAGCTCTGAGGCACACTGAAAACAGAAAAAAATCAGATCTTGTTTAAACCCCAGCTCTGCTGTTTACTAATGAGTATTATATCTTTCTTGACCTTAAACAAATTATTTAGCTAGCTTGACTATTGTTTTCTAAAAAAAAAAAAAAATAGAATTGGTTTAATAGCAGTCCATACTATTCATTCTCAGCATGGTTTCAATGAAAAACAAAACAAACAAATGAGAGATAATCTAATCAAACCAGAACCATAAGTAAAGATAATAATTATCCAATAAATACAATTGATTGGTGATACTGACTTGACAGAAGAAAACTTTAACCTCACTTACCTGGCATCTGATCTGTTGCCACAAAGGAGAGCATATCTTTCTCCTTCCAAATAATAAAAGTTTTCTGTTTCTGAAAATAAGAAAGAAATTATATTCTATATCTATTTTCTAAGCTTGAGTGAACAGCATATCTGAAAGCCATTTAAACCTCTATAGTGAGTAGGAATTAGCATATAGCTTGTTTTTTTAAATTTTTTTATTGTCTAAAGTTTTACATATGTCTCCTTTTTCCCCATTGGCCCCCCCCCACCGCAAGCCATTCCCCCTTTACATGCCCTTACCCCCCTAGTGTCTGTGTCCATTGGTTATGCCAGTGTCTGTCCATTGGTTATGCTAATATGCATGCACACAAGTCCTTTGGTTGCTCTCTACCCCTCTCCCCCCACACCACCTCCACTGCCATTTGTCCCTGGATCTATTTTTGTTCATCAAATTATGTTAATCATTATATCCCACATATGAATTAGATCATGTGGTATTTATCTTTCTCCAACTGACTTATTTTGCTTAGCATAATGCTCTCCAATTCCATCCATGCTGTTGCAAATGGTAAAAGTCCCTTCTTTTTTATAGCAGCATAGTATTCCATTGTGTAGATGTACCACAGTTTTTTAATCCACTCATCTGCTGATGGGCACTTAGGCTGTTCCAAATCTTAGCTGTTGTAAATTGTGCTACTATGACCAAAGGGGTGCATATATCCTTTCTGATTGGTGTTTTTGCTTTCTTGGGATATAGTCCTAGAAGTGGCATTACTGGGTCAAGTGGGAGTTCCATTTTTAACTTTTTGAGGAAACTCTATACTTTTATCAAGGAAGCTGTCTCAGCATCTGATGCACAGGCAAAAAGTCCTCTGGCAATCCACCTACTTCACTGACCTGAAAGTGATAAGACTCAGTATTGAAAGAGGAGAATCCCTTTCAAAATTAGAGTTCAAGAAAATGAATGTAACCAGCCAGATACGTCCAGACCCCTGAAGGAAAAATTCCTAAAACTAATATGCTGGAAAGCCACAGGCCTTTAATTCCAGGATTTATTCCTGATGCTCTTCCTGAGCAGAAGACCAGATTTTCTGTCTTTGGGTTTAATTTCCATTCTCTTCTCACTTCGAAGCTTATTTTTCTTCATTGAGCATCCAGCGCCAATTATTTCCCTGGTGTCACCTAATTTTGACCACAACCTAAGCTGATCTGAATTACAGCCCATAGAATTTATCCAGATATCCTTACTTGTCAATTAAAATGTAAACTGGATATTTATAAATATAGTTACCAGGGTGGGGAACATGCATCCTTAGAAGCATTGATTTTTAGATTCTATATTCAAATCACAGAAATCAAACCCATGAGAGCAGTTCTGAGCATGTGCATGTGTGTGTGTGAGAAAGAGAGTACGTACATGCAAAAATATATATGTACACAAAATTGTATATATGTTATATATATACAAAATTGAATTACTCCAATCTCAAATAATGTCACTTAAATTTGTCATCTAAAATAATTTTAGAAGAATTTTTAAATCATACATAATTAGAAACCATTGATCAACCTCTTGAATAGCAGTTAAAAATGAAATGACAATCAAAGAACTTATGTGCATATCTGCATAACCCAAAAACACAGACAATAGTGAGGTGAAAGCCAGGGGAGGGGATGGGAGTGAGAAGGAGGGAGTCAAGGGGGAAAAAGGAGACATCAGTAATACATTCAATAATAAAGGTAAATTAAAAAAAACAACAATTGAACTTTGACATTAGTGAAACTGGACAGTCCCAAATACTATTCTATGAACAAGGACTATGACATGGCTTTCGGTTAATAATATTATATTTTCAGCGGGTCCTAGCATGCTATTTGACTATTTCAAAGAGGTAATCTTTAAAAGTTATTTGTTCTTAATATATTTTAACAAAGATGAAAATAACCTGTTTCCTTAGCAATAATTAATGAAGTAGCAAAAATTATTTTAAGTAATTAGCATATTTTGTTACATTGTCAAAGGAACCAAAGGGTATTTCAATTGGAATCTAACATTTACTAATCTAGCTCCTGATGTCCTCACCACTAAAATTAGGGCCTTGAAATAGACACATATCATAAGGAAACATTCCACATAACCATAGACTAATAATTCTGTATTACTTGCATCATTATAATTTCATGGGGAAAGCTAAAGAGTAAAATTTATTAAGATTTGTCTTAGAACTTATTAAATCCAAAGTATAAATTAATGTAGAAGGTCTACATAAGATTAATCAATATTTGTTTTTTATTAGTTGAAAAATATGCTTTTATTTTTTTCTAAATACTGTCAGAAAGAACCTGATAATTTTAATGTGAGAAAAAAAATATCCAGTAAGAGTACGGTTTGTGTAAAGGGAAGGGATATTAAACCCGAATTTTGCTTGGAGAGAATCCTGATTTTATCCCCATGTAGTTACAGTACTCTGGAGCATTCACTAAATTTCTCTGAACTTCATTTCCTTCTTTGTAACAGGGGTTATTCATGTCTCCTCTGCAAGATTGTGGTAAAGATTAGAATGCAGGATATACAAAACCTTATTTTGATTCAATAATAAATAGGCAAATAACCCAGAGAAATGGATTTGATTAGACATTTCTCCAAAGAAGAAAGTGAAAGAAGTTAGTCACAAAAGACCATACACTGCTTGATTCCATTTATATGAAACTAGAGGCCTGGTGCACAAAAATTTGTGCACTTGGGGGAGTCCCTCAACCCAGCCTGTGCCCTCTCGCAGTCTGGGACCCCTCAGGGAATGATCACCTGCTGGCTTAGGCCCACTCCCTGGAGAATTGGGCCTAAGCTGGCAGTCAGACATCCCTCTGGCAGCCCGGGAGCCCTCGAGGGATGTCCACTTGCAAGCAGGTAGCAGTCCAAGCTGCAGTCAGGCATCTTTAGTGCTGCTGAAGAGGTGGGAGAGACTCCCACCACCACCGCTGTACTGGCAGCCATCAGCCAGGCTTGTGGCTGAGAAGAGGGCCCCCTGTGGGAGCACACTGACCACCAGGGGGAAGCTCCTGCATTGAGCATCTGTCCCCTGGTGGTCAGTGTGTGTCAGAG